AAACTCTTGGAAGCTAGAGGTTTGGAATTAATAATGTGGCAACTCTAAAAATCAGGTTCTCCCCCTGTCCCCAAGGTTTGCTATTGCTATTTTTTCTTCTTGTATTTTGAATGCTATCAGCTGTCTCTTTACTGAGGTCAGAATGACATGGAACTTAAGGTTTGCTCAGTTATTTTCAGAACCTTTGTCTTCCTCTAGGTATGTGTAATAACTACATATTTTCCTTTATATATGTGGTAGCTTTCGAATAGCCTATTTTTCAACATCTAGCTCCCAAAGTGAAAAGACAAAAAACCAAAATGAACACAGGGCATTGAGCCTTTAAGCTCCTTGGAAGTTATCAGAGACTGAGATAAGGGAAAATCATGAAGTAGCGATGAGCACTGCCTACGACTACTACTGCGATCAGAAGCAGCAGTCGGTGATCAGAGTACAAACTCTCCATATCTGGAGGACAGAGGAGTAATACGTTATGGATCTTGCTTGCCTTGCACAAGTTGCCCCAGGGGCACACACATGGGGATGGAGGGATGTGCATAGATTCTTCTGTACTGAGTGATGACATTGGTTCCAATTAAACGTAATTTACTAGCTATAGCTTCCCTTCAGAATTGAAAAGTTTCAGAATTCCAAATTGTTATGTCAGATTTTTTCAGGGCAGTTGTTTTCTGAATTAGGAGACAGATTTCTGGTTTCTTCTCATTCTCCTATCTTTCCAGAATCCTCTCCTAGATTTCTGGTTCTTTTCTTTTCCTTTCCTTTTTCTTTTTTTAGACAAATGTAAAACCTTTATCTGTTTTTGCTTCTGTTAGGTGGGTTTCCCATTATGTTTTTTCCTAAAGGGCAACCATGTCATTGAGTCATTGGTAATTAATATATTGATTATATTCATTAACATGTGTGTTCAGATTTTCCACTAAAATGTATTTTTAGCTAAAACTGGTTGAACTAGTTCAAAAGAATGCTACATGACAGTTTCTTTCTTTCTTTCTTTTTTTAAATATTTATTTATTTGAAAGGCAGAGTTACAGAAAGGCAGAGGCAGAGAGAGAGAGGGAGAGAGAGACGTCTTCCATCAGCTGGTTCCCTACCTAGATGGTTGCAACAGCCAGAGCTGGGTCCATCCAAAGCAAGGAGCCAGGAGCTTCTTCTGGGTCTCCCACGCTGGTGCAGGGACCCAAGGACTTGGGCCATCTTCTACTGCTTTCCCAGGCCCTAGCAGAGAGCTGGATCAGAAGTGGAGCAGCCCAAACCTAACTGGCACCCACATGGGATGTTAAGACTGCAGGTGGCAGCTTTACCCACTACACCACAGTGCTGGCCTCTACATGACAGTTTCTAAAATGAGGATGTAGAGTATATATTTTTCTAATGCAAAACAAGAAAATAATTAAACATAAGAGAGCTTTCCTATAAGGATTACTGATAACAGCTTAGGTAAAATAAAATTGTTTAAAAAACATTTACATAAAATTTTCAAAGCCAATTTCAGCTGAAATGTGAAAATTTTAGAGCAAAACATGGTAACAGTTTTCTAAAGGAATTTAGCAAGTGGCTAGTGCTGCTGGTTAAGCTGCTGCTTGTGACACTGGCATCTATATGGGCATTGGTTCGCATCCTGGCTGCTCCACTTTGAATCCAGCCCCCTGCTAATGTGCATGGGAAAACAGTAAAACATGGACCCAAGCCTTTGGGCCCCTGCACCCATGTTGGAGATATGGATGGAGTTCCAGGCTCCTGGCTTTGATCAGGCCCAGCCTGGGTTTTTGTGAAGATTTTGTGAGTGAATCTCTCTCTGTCACTCTGCATTTCAAATAAATAAGAAAAATAAATTTAGTAACACCAAATTTTTTTAGTAATTCCAAGTAAATATATATAATTATTAAAATGTAAGTTGTGATTTTAGCTATACTCATGATAAAGAAATCTATATATTATAAATTATTTCAGATATTTAACATATGTCTTCTAATATTGATAAATATTGATAATTGAGCCAAATGGATGGATATTGATAAATTTATAAAGGGTAAGAATATAAGATAGTCTAATCAGATACCCTCATCAATCTCAAAAAAAGTTAACAATGTTATATACGCTCTTTCACCTCTATCTGCATTTTGGGGCCATAGGTGAAGAGGTCTTTCATAATAAAATTCTTAAATTTATCCTGTCAATTTGTTTTACATAAATTGCTGGCAATCACTGTTATGTAATTCTTTCTGTCTATTGTCTGTGCTCATCACAAATATTGATTATCAAGGTTAAAATATTAATTTTAATATGATGCTACAAAGGGCATACATTTGAGATATCTAGATAGTAAAAGTGTGCTAAAAATATTAGAATCTTATTCTTTTTTTTTTTTTTTTTTTTTTGACAGGCAGATTGGACAGTGAGAGAGAGAGAGAACAGAGAGAAAGGTCTTACTTTTTGCCGTTGGTTCACCCTCCAACGGCCGCCACGGCCAGCGCGCTCCAGCCGGCGCATCGCACTGATCCGAAGGCAGGAGCCAGGTGCTTCTCCTGGTCTCCCATGTGGGTGCAGGGCCCAAGACACTTGGGCCATCCTCCATTGCACTCCCGGGCCATAGCAGAGAGCTGGCCTGGAAGAGGGGCAACCGGGACAGAATCTGGCGCCCCGACTAGGACTAGAACCTGGTGTGCCGGTGCCGCAAGGCGGAGGATTAGCCTAGTGAGCCACGGCACCGGCCAGAATCTTATTCTTAATATCACTTTGTTTTAGTAACTCACTATGTGGGCACACATAAAAATATATTGCTGGAACTATATAAATGATAAAATTATCTGGAAAAATTTTAATTTGAAATCTAAATGTTTCTTCACTCCTGGTGTTCTTAATATAAACTTCTGTCAATAAAACAAAATTTATTCCAAGGTATTACAATTGTAAATCTTGATGAGACCTTATTGGTCATCAGCATGAGATTATGTGGGCCCAGAAATGCTAACTGATTTGTCCATAGTTAACTGAAATATATACATTGAGACTGAAACATACCCTGAAAAGAATAAAACCACTAGTTTAAATACATAACTTAGTTTGTTTCTGAGCTTGCAAAGCCATAATTGGTTAAGTATACTTATGCAGGCATTTAAATATGCCTCTCAACTCCCTTTGTCCAAGAAATTTTATTTTAAGGCCAGACTTAACTTGTCCCAACTACTATTATTACCACTTAACTCTGATGATAATATGACATATCTTCAAGCTACTCATCTGCATTATCCTTTTTTTCTATCCTAATGGTTGACCTGAATGCTGCTTATTAATTTCACTTCACTCTAATCATATCCTGTGCTCTATGCTAACTCCTCCTGCACTGAAGTCTCCCCTCAGTGATTGCCTAGCCAAGTAACCCATTAAACTTTCATCATAAGTTATTTAATATTTTTTTCCTAGAGACCCTCATTGACTTTTTACATACATCTAACACAAGTACACCATAACATTCACATTAAAAGTAATCTTGGGTTTTATTTTCCTTCACTCTTTTATTATCTAAATGCCTTCTCTTCCCCAGACTATTTCTTAAATTTGTTCTGTACATCTTATATTTTGCATGTAGCACTTGATCTAATGTCTGAAAAATACCAAATAACATTATAATTTGCAATATTCATTAAGCTCTACCTATTTTCCCTTTTAAAATAAGAGACCAAACTATCAAGATATTAACTTCCTATGTTTATCAAGGCACAATTTTGTCAGAAATCCTCCCCAAATAAGTGTGAGGACAGCATTACCATACACTCTTACCTAAGGTATCATTTGGAATAAAGAATATCATTTCGCGTAAACCACAGGCATATAGCTTTTTGAAGTGAGTGAACGTTCTTTATCTATCCATGCTGAGTTTGAAATTATTCCCACATAGCAATGCTGTTAGCACATAAGCATTTGACAAAAGAAAACAAAAACAAAAACTAGCTCAAGGCATAGAAATTACTGAAAATTGAAAATATTGCAATGCTACAAAATTAGGATGATCAAGATTGTGAAAAGCTTAGATCGAAGAGTAATGACAATTGATTTTAAAGCACTTAGGAAAGAGTAACTTATTTATTTATTCTTAAACTTGATTTTTAGGTCCAGCAGACCTAAAATTTATCTTCTCTGCAATTGTGGGTCCATTTAAACCACTTAGATCACCCAGGATTACTCAGGATTCTAAATGATACTTCAAAGTACTGTGCAATCAATGAAATTGTTCTCCTAAGTGCTAAAGGTATTTATCTACAAAATCCATCTTCCACTCATGTTTCTGCAAAAGTGACACCACAGGGAAAGGGTTCCAGCACAGAGAAACTGCTAGAACACCTGTCATGATGCTGTGCTAATGGCACCCCAACAGAGTGAAAGCAGATTTCACTTTCTGGGTATGTTGGGTGAGAATGCAGATCACAGTAATCTGTTCTGTCCATTTAAATGTTACAACACTATAAAAGATGCAGGGTGCAGCTGCTTCTTTAAAACTTGTTGGAGGGGCCGGAGCTGTGGCTTAGTGGGTAAAGCTGCTTCCTGAAGGGCCGGCAACCCATATGGGCACTGGTTGGAGACCTGGCTGTTCCACTTCTGATCCAACTCTCTGCCATGGCCTGGGAAATCAGTGGAAGATGGCCCAAGCCCTTGGGACCCTGCACCCACCTGGGAGACCTGGGGAAACCTCCTGGCTCCTGGCTTCGGATCTGCACATCTCTAGCCACTGTGGCCATCTGGGAAGTGAACCAGCAGGTGGATGACCTTCCCCTCCCCCCACACACATTCTCCCTCCCTCTCTGTAACTCTGTCTTTTATAAATAAATAAATCATTTAAAAAATCTTGTTGGAGAAGTGAACACTTTCTCCTACAAAATATAAGATGTTGCTCCAGGTGAAAAACATTAATTCATTAATGTGATAGTTTAAGATGCAAGACTACAAGACTCTCTCCATGTGTTTAATATTCTTTTCAAAACTTTTCCAGAGCGCATACTCACCCCATCTGGCCTGCCATCTGAAGCCGTGACAATCAGAATGTAGCGATCAGTGCTTTCCCTGTCCAGTGCTTTTCCTAACGTTAGAATCCCAGTCCTAGAGAGAGAACAGAGAGGAAAAAAGTAAACAAATAAGACACAAAGAAATCGTGTATCACAACTAGAGGTTTTTGCTATTGTGAACTATTTTTGATATTTTTTTTCCTTTAGCTGTTATAGCTTAAGTACTTGAGGAGTACCTGCTGGGCTTTATGATGAAAACTCAAAAGGTTTTAGCAGTAACAATCAGCTAATCTAACCACCTTTCAATTTATTATCACATATATTTTCAATACAGAATTGCAGAAAAATCAGATCCCATCTCTGACAAGCCAAACAAAAGGTTAATTAGTTTCTTCTCCCCTAATTTCAAAATAATAGAGGTTTCTTGTATAATATAAAATAGATTTTTTAAAAATTATAATTATTATAGTCATTTTTTAAAAGTTTTTATTCTCTTGTATGAACACATTCAAGTATGTAATTGTTTTCCAAAGAGGAACAAAACTATATATTTCACATTCTTTTTAAGAAAATAAAACTTATTATCCATTATCTCAAAATTCATAAAAAAAACATCTGTGGACACAGTAACAATTTTATCATTTTGTTGTTCCTTCAAAATTTGGATAATTCTTAATATATTGGCAAAAATATATATTCAATGGCATATTATTCAGCTACAAAAAATGATTGAAAGTCTATCACTTGCATCAGAATGGTTGCAACTGGAGGACATCGTGTTTTGTGTAATAAGCCAGACCAAGAATGACAAATACCACATGTTCTCCCTTATATGTTAGAGCTAAACAAAACAAGACAAAAATAATAATAATAAAAAAAAAAACAAGAAAAGAAAGAAACGCCTGCGTGTATCAGTTCTGTTGCAAATATAGGGTTTTGTGAAACATTTTAAATCATTGTCTAACAAATTGTTAAGAATCATATATACAGCCATTGTCTATATTCCTGATGAACTTTTCTTTAACTTTTTAATTGCTGAACTGTTAGTGGAGTATTAAGTCTTTAGCTGTAATGTAAATGAAAAATATGTTATTTCAAATTTAAAATGGGATTTCAAAATAACAGTATTTGGGAAAATCTGTATATCGGGAATATTTTAAATCTATGTCTTACCTTTCTACTGTCCAGAATAAATGATTCCAAATATTTACAATTTATTTCCAAATATAAGTTGTTTTATAACACTCTGATTAGTTGTACTGTCTCTAATGATACTGTTCAAGACATGATATTCTAATTAGGGTATAACAAGCACCTACAGTGGAGCAGAGTACATCTCCATGTAACAAACATTTAGTATTTGCCAAGTATAAAAACATGTCTTGCTTCTGATCAAATAAACCCTTTGATTTTAATGTGTTTTTCTTTGGTAATAATGGAAGTTAAACGATTACTCCACATATGGCAAGTAAGTTCAGAATCAAAGCAAATGAATCAAAATCAGAGTCCCATTTACTCCACTTACTTTATTTTGTTCTTCCTGTCAATATGGACTTTAAAAAAGTTCTAAACATATGGTATGACTCGAAAAAAAAACGGGCTTTGCTGCTTGTAATGTTAAAAATATTTTGTCAAAATAACTGAAAAACAATTCCCAGAGTGTGTTCACAACAATCAGGTTTGGATCAGCTTCCTATACTACAGATGGTTCAGATAATCTCATTCTAAAATGACATTCAAAGAGAAAAGTAAGACAGCTATTGTTTCAGAGACTTATTTCAAGTAATTTAAGAAATCAGATATTTGAAAAGTTAGCCATAGTATAGTCAGGGAAAGAAACCTGAGTTACTATTTTCCTTTTTCCTTCTACTAGCTTAATGTCTCTATATGCCTATAATACTCCTTGCACATTCTATCTAAAAATCACTAGGAATATATCTAGTATCTCTGTTTAGAGCCATCCAGCTATTTTTTTTCATGGTCTGATGATTATGACAGATAGAGGCCTTGGCTTAAGATGATGAATACTTTGTGATCCAATGAGGCTGATAGTTGAATGGGATATTTGGGAGATGTATAGAGAAGGAAAGAAAAGTTAGTGTCTTTTTTTTTTTTAAGATTTATTTATTTATATAGAAAGTCAGAGTTACAGAGAGAAAAGGAGACACAGAGAGAGATCTTTCATCTGCTGATTCGTTCCCCACATGACCACAATAGCCAGAGCTGGGCCAAGCCAAAGCTCGGAGCCAACACATTTCATCCAGGTATCCCACATGGGTGGCAGGGACCAAACACTTGGGTCATCTTTTACTGCTTTACTCAGACCATTGGCAGGGAACTGGCTCAGAAGTCGAATAGCAGGCACACAAACCAGCACTCATATGAGATGCCAGTGTCACAGGCAGCAGCTTTGCCCACTACACCGCAAAGGCAGTTCTAGGCAGTTTCTTCTGATACTTTTAGCTGAAAGACTAGTTTATGGATATACATGAACATTCTTTCATGACATCCTAGAAATAGCTGGCAAGGAGTCTTGATAACAGCTGGGTATTAATAAAGACAGAAAAATACCACATGTTCACCCTTATATGTGAGAGCTAAAAAAAAAAAAAATCAACAAACAAAAACAAGAAAACAAAGAAATGCCTGCATATATCAATTCTGTTGCAAATATAGGGTTTTGTGAAACTTTGTTTTAAATAATTTTCAAACAGTTAATAATCAATGAACTGCCTTGGGATACATACCAAAGATTGTATGATTTTACATTAAAAAATACATAAACATCATTTCTGACAAAACATCAAAAATGGTGCTATGTAAATTTTGTAAGATTCAAACATACATCATAGGAGTGATGCTAGTGAAAATGGTGAAGTACATAGCTCCAGAAATAGTCTCACCACAAAAACATTAAAAAATTAAATTAAGCAGGGAGAGTCAAAAACAATCCACAGAAACCTAGAAAACACTCACAGGATTGCAGCAACCAAATGAAGGCAGAGTCAAGAAAAAAATTAACTTAGGGGGATGCCCTGGGGCATAGCAGGTTAATCCACTGTCTTCAACACCAGTATCTTACATGGGTGCCAGTTTGAGTACCAGCTGCTCCTTTTCCTATCCACCTTGGAAAGCAGTGGAAGATGGCCCAAGTGTTTGGGCCCCTGTACACATATGAGGGAAGCTCCTGGCTTATGCATAGCCCAGCCTTGGCCATTGTGGCCATCTGGGTAGAGAACCAGTAGATGGAAGATCTCTCTATCTCTCCTTCTTCTCTCTCACTCTCTCTTTCTCTGTAACTCTGCCTTTCAAATAAATAAAAGAAAAAAAATCTTAAAAATAGCAGGGAAGCTTTTTAAAGAAGTTTTTCAAGTCACATATTCAAAAAGCTTCTGGTTTCCATAAAATAGAAATGATCTTAACAACTCAATAAATAGCACAATGAACACAATGAAAACTTGGAAAACTACATGAGGAGACATTTTTCCAAAGAACATACACAAACAAACAGAAGATATCAGAAAGAATGATCAATATCATCAGTCACAGGAAAATGTGAATTGAAACTACAACTAAGCGCTATTTCATTGTCACTGATAGCTATAATTAAAAAACAAGTAAAACAACAGTAAAAAAAAAAAAAACATGGTAAATAAGTGTTTGTAAAGGTATAGGCAATTGTAGCTCTCATACTTTCCTAGTAGAGATGCAAAATGGTTCAGGAACCATGGAAAATATTTGGATGTTCCTAAAATACTTAAATGCAAAACTACAATATGCCCTGGTGATTTTACCCTTGACCGTATACTCAGAACAGATGAAAATAAGTACCAAAATACATGTACATGTATGCTCATAGCAGCAGTGCTTACAATAACCTTAAGGTAGAAAAATAGCACCGGGGCCGACGCCTTGGCTCACTTGGTTAATCCTCTGCCTGCGGCACCAGCATCCCATATGGGTGCCAGTTCTAGTCACGGTTGCTCCTCTTCCAGTCCAGCTCTCTGCTGATGCCTGGGAAGGCAGTGGAGGATGGCCGAAGTGCTTGGGCCCTGCACCCACATGGGAGACCAGGAGGAAGCACCTGGCTCCTGGCTTCAGATCAGCGCAGAGCCAGCTGTGGTGGCCATTTGGGGAGTGAACCAGCAGGTGGAAGACCTTTCTCTCTGTCTCTCTCACTATCTAACTCTGTCAAATAAATAAAGAAAAATAGCACCAACTACCAAAAATTTATAAATTAATAAATAAATTGCTATATATATATGTAATGAGAGTATTATACAGCAATGACAAGGAGTGGGTCACTGAGCCATGTTGCCACATTAAACTGAGTGAAGGAAATCAGACACAAATGACAGCAAATTGAATGACTTCCTTGCACTCCAGTTTCTCTCCCAACCATCATTCTCAGTGAACTATTAATCTACTACTTGTCTCCGTAGATTTAGCTAAACTGGACATTTCATACAAATGGAATCACACATTTTAATGTGATCTGTGACTGTCTTATTTCACTTAGCATCATATTTTCAAGAATTGAAGTACTCTATTCCTTTTTATTGCCCATAATATTCCATCATATGGCTACACAATATTTTGTTTATCCATTCATTTGTAATTGGACATTTCCATTGTTTATACTTTTTGCCACTGGAAAAATTTGTTATGGACATTGTCCAAGTTTTCATATATATGTATGCCTCATTCTCTTAATTAGATATGAGAAGAACAGTGTATTGTATGGTAAATATCAAAATTTTTCCAAAGTGCGAATTTTACATTGCCACCAGAAATAAATGAGGACTCTCAACATTGTTAACCAAATGAGGGTACTTCAAAAACTTGTAGAATAAAAGATGTGTTTATTTTGGTGCAAAATAACTTTAAAGTTCATGGAAATAATTTTTTCATAATATGGATTTTCCTTGACCTTTTTGAATACCCCTAATATTTAGTATCACCTTCCTTTTTCATTATAGACATTCTAACTATATGCAGAGTAGCATATCCTAATAGTTTTAACTTTGTATTTCCCTAATAACTGCTAACCATGAGGATTTCTCCACAGCCTCATTCACCATTTATATATCCTTTAGAAAAAAATTCAAATACTTTGTCCATTTTTTTTTTTTGACAGGCAGTGTTAGTGAGAGAGAGAGAGAGAGACAGAAAGGTCTTCCTTCCCTTGGTTCAGCCCCCAAATGGCCACTACGGCTGGCGCTGTGATGATCCAAAGCCAGGAGCCAGGTGCTTCCTCCTGGTCTCCCATGTGGGTGCAGGGCCCAAGCACCTGGGCCATCCTCCACTGCCTTCCCGGGCCACAGCAGAGAGCTGGACTGGAAGAGGAGCAGCCAGGACAGAAGTTGGCGTCCCAACCGGGACTAGAGCTCAGGGTGCCGGCACCATAGGCCGAGGATTTTTAACTAGACTATTTTTCTTTTTCCTTTAGAGTCATACATGTTCTTAATTTATTCTTGGCACATGTTCCTTTAACGCTCACACTTTAAATTATTTTCTCTGTGTATGAGTTGTCTAGTACTTGTACAGGTGTCCCTTGAAACCTGTACTTTTAAAAGTTCATGGGATAGTGCCATGGCTCACTTGGTTAATCCTCCGCCTGTGGCGCCGGCATCCCATATGGGTGCCGGATTCTGTCCTGGCTGCTCCTCTTCCAGTCCAGCTCTCTGCTGTGGCCGGGAGGGCAGTGGAGGATGGCCTGAGTGCTTGGGCCCCTACACCCACGTGGGAGACCGGGAGGAAGCACCTGGCTCCTGGCTTCAGATCGGCACAGCGCGCCGGCCATAGCGGCCATTTGGAGAGTGAACCAGCAAAAGGAAGACCGACCTTTCTGTCTCTCACTGTCTACAATTCTGCCTGTCAAATAAAAAAAAAAAAAAGTCATGAATTTCAACTTAACTATATCAATCGTTTTTGCATTTGTGTCAAGATAAAAATGCATTTCTAATTCAAGTAACAAAGATTTATATCTGCATTTTCTTATAATGGTTATATAGTCTTTACTATTCTCTTGAAACCCATAGTTCTCCTTGAGCAAATGTCTGTGATTAGTGCGACGTAGAGATCCATCTTAACTATTTTGCATGTTGCCCCAGCTTCACTTGTTGAAAAGGAAATTCTTTCCTTATTTGGTCATCCTGGCCCATCTTTGGGGGAAACCAATTGACCCTAAATGTTATTAGTGACATCTGCATTCTTAAGTCTCTCCCAGTGATTTTGTGTGCTTATCCTCACACCCATATCAAGTAAACTTCAGTGAGGTGTCCCTTTAAAAGGTATGTGTGTGTGTACATGTGTGTGTGCGTGTGTATGTGTTTAATGGTCATGATAAACTATAGCTAATTTTCTTTTACTTTGATATCTCCATTGGGGGGAACTCAATACAGTTAAGCCTTTCCAAATAGAAATTTATTTATTAGTGAAATCTAGAATTCTTGGGCATAGTATTTATAATACCTTTGGGTCCCAGGAATTTCTAGTTCATGGTTGGAAATCTTATCCAATGTGAAATTGTAGTTGTTTCTCAAAATACTAAGTTCCCCATGTGGTTCTTGGATTTGGCATTGTTTAATATATATTCCTAAGACTAATGCAGTGATTAGCACAATTGTCAACATTTTCACTATATAATCATGTGTTAGATTAATACTCCCATTCCTTCAGGAAGTAAAACCACTCACAACTGCATGAAAATATCAGGGTATAGCAAGCACTATTCCTTTGTAGCCAGTCACATGTGACAGTACAACAGCCACAGCTTGACATTACAGAGGATAAGCAAATGATCTGACTGAAAACCCGACACCTTCTCTCTATGCCTGTTTCCAGTTTTCGCAGTGGATAGGATTTACATTGTCTGCTGTGTTCAGAGAGGTCCATACAAAGAGGTTTGGTGTGGACATGCATTCTAAACATTTTTATCAATTTTAGACTGTGTCACAATCAAAAAATGAAGAATAGGCATCTGTGGAACCTTAAATATGCTATGACAGTCCTTGCCTTACAAGACATCCTTTGAATTAACAAGTCGGTGCTAACTTACTCTTTGTAGAATTGCCCTTCTTATCATGAGAAGCTGTCAACTTGAGGGGAATCTAATTAATCCCAGGTTATGCCTGCAAATGAAGTATTTCCACCTCAATGGATTTTACACAGCAACAATGTTAGGAATAAATAAATGGTCTCCTGGATAAGATTTTTGGGTTTAGAATTGTCCTCCTAGCTTTCATAGAATAATCATAGAAAACAAGAAAGAAAAAAACTACAAACTGCTCAAAGACTCTGATCAGAAGTCCTCTCTTGGTAAGAGGGCAATGTTCAAGATTTAAAAAGGGAAAAATCAAGGCAGAAATCATTTCCAACTTACGTTTCTGAAAGATTAAAAACTCGTTGAGGATCTCCATTTTCAATGGCATATGTTATTGGGTCTCCTTCTCTATCAGTTGCCTTCAGAGAGAAAAGAAAATTCAATGATCTAGTAGTTTATACGGCTACTATAAAGTACACAATAATAAAGCTTCAAACTATTAGCATAGAATATCCATTACAGCCTCCACGAATAAGATTAAAGCATACCCTAATACCAAGATTTTACTTAAATAATTTATCTGTTCCCAGGATTTCTAGATGTACATAAAATCTTACTTGATGAAGAAACAGTGAAAACTTTCCTTAGTTTTACTTATTTAATTTACTTACCTTCATTAATTTTTCTGTCTATAATTTAAGCAAATGTCTTCAAAGCAAAAAAAATTACAGTGTCAAGGAATTATTTCAGCACTTTTTTTTCTATTTGCCTAGAATATAGTAAGATGGGGTGAGTACTGTGGCCCAGCACTCAAGGCTGCCATTTGCAACGCCCATATTCTATATCAGAGTATATCTGCAGCTACTCCTTGTTTCTGATCTAGCTTTCTCCTGGCACTCCTGGGAGTATTGGGCTCTTGCATCGATGTGGGAGATCCAAGTGCAGTTCCTGTCTGCCTGCTTTGGGTCTGGCATAGTGCTGGCTGTTGCAGACATTTGGGAGGTGAACCAGCATATAAACATTTTCTGTCTCTCACTTCCTGTCACTTTGCCATTCAAATCAATAAATACATCTTTAAAGAAAAGGAGTATAGCAAAAACAAATAACTCAACTTAGTAAAGCTTTCTGGTTAAGAATTCTAAATTGGGAGCCAAAGAGCCTGAATTCAAAACTAGATCCCATTTATTAATTGTGTGGGATCTAGTTTGGCTGACTAGCTCTCTCTCTCTCTCTCTCAATCTCTAGTAAAAACATAAAGTAGAATACTATCTATATATTGAAGACTCTCCATACCTATGCCTCTAAGCCAGCCTTTCCCTCTGAAATTCAGATTTAAATCCATTGCTTACTTGAATTACCTTCAGCTGAGTAACACACATCGTCAATTTAAAATGGTAAACGCACCAAATCTGAACCCTTATTAAATCAGTTTTAATTAAGTGGACAAATTTATCACTTTTTTTCTGGGACAAGATTTAATTAATTAATTAAGATATAAAGACTATTGCATTCTCTCTTCTTTCTTATGACTTGTATTAAAATACTAAAACAAATAAAATATGGAACCATATTTGAAACACTCCATTTAAATCTAGAATTTTAAAATCTATCACATAAATTACAATGGAAACCAAAGAATAATACATAACCAACAGATTGCTTTAGCATGGGCTGGTATTGTGGTACAGTGGGCTAACCTGACACTTGCTATGTGGGATTCCCTATCAGAGTGCCAGTCTGAGTCCTGGTTGCTCCACTTACAATCCAGCTTCCTGCTAAAGTGCCTGCAAAACAGCAGAAAACAGCTCCAGTGTTTGGCCATCTGCCACCTACATGGCAGACCCAGATGGAGTTCCTGACTCCTGGCTCTCTTTCTCTTCCCTCTCCCTCTCTTTATTAAATAAATAAATCTTTAAAAAATATACCCAACAGGATAGGTAATAGATGCTAGGGTGTTTTCCCAATGTTTTCTCTCGCTTGGTAGACAAGTATCATCAAAAGATAAAGAGGGGGGTCAGTGCTGTGGCATAGTAGGTTAAGCCTCTGCCTGTGGTACGGGGATCCCATATGGGTGCCGGATTGAGTCACAGCTGCAGCTCTTCTAATCCAGCTCTCTACTTATGACCTGGGAAAGCAGTGGAAGATGGTCCAAGTGTTGGGGACCCTGCACCCATGTGGGGACCCAGAAGAAGCTACTGGCTCCTGGCTTCTATTTGGATCTTTCTCTGTTTCTCTCTCTCTCTCTCTGTTATAACTCTGCCTCTCAAATAAATATTTTTTTAAAAAAGAAATAAAAAGGAACTTTTGAATAAAGAATTGTAGTATATTTATGAGACTATTTTATCCAAGAGCTTAGATTATTTTTTCTCTTGTTTTTCTCTTTCAGTTGCTCATTTCTGATTGTTACATTGTTGGAGATATTATTAAGTTCTTTTGGTTTGCCCTTTGGTATAAAATTGTTTCATTTATTTATTTTTGAAGGATAATGAACATCTTGAATTTTCATAAAAGCCAAAAAAAAAATCCTGAAACATGGTTTTGTATAAGCAATTATAAATCTACATAGACCTTTAACCTTTTAATTTCTCTGATCTACTCTAGTATTTAATGTTATGTTTGTGAAATGAGAATACTTTATATGCTGTGTCATTTTATTTTTAATGTACATTATTTTTAATTCCTGATGCACCTTGAAATATTTATTTTTATTTAACTCTTTAAATACCTCAGGCTTTTAAGGATTGGGAGGCTCAATAATTTACTTCATTCTTATGTGACATTGTGTTTATGTTAGAAACTTTGAAGAACCATAGTTTGGAAGAAAATATTTGGTAGTTTTCTTCATTTTATCCTGTTGGCCAATACTTTTGTTTCAGGGCCTGTGTCCAAATAGTGTAGTTATTAGAGAAGATTCATAGTTTCTCAGACAAAAAAGCAAGGTGCGAGAATGCTAAGTGCATCACAGTTATGAAATCTATCCAAGACACATATATGTGCTAGTGCTTGTATGAAAATACCTCTTTTTGCCAATATGCAAAGGAGAGATAATACATTAAATGAATAATTGGAAATATCAACAGGAGCCATGATCTTTCAAGTATTAATATTTGATTATGTGTGTATATGTGCCCTATCTGCACTTGTACAGCACTTTAAAACATTTCTTCTACATGAGAGTCTAACTGGCCATCTCAAAATAACTTGTAATACATCAGGAAGTACATTACAGTTCCGCATGCTTTATCTCATTTAAGCCTCACAGTAACTTTATTAGTACATAGAAAATGCAAAAGACGTCAATGATAATACTATTTTGCCACCGTTCTAGCTACAGTTATTTAGTACAAAGATTTATCTTCTTTATCAAGCTATAATAGTAAACTATTTAACCATGGATAGACAGACTGTAGTGTTATTCAGTATTTTCCATAATGTAAGAGAAATTATTCCTCCTTAGTTTAAGAATATTTCTTATGTTTCTTATGTTTCAAATCTGAGTCTCTTCTTCAAGGTCTGAGAAAAGTGTGATAGCAATTATCTTTTGGATTGTTCTCATGGGTCTTACTAGGGTGACTCTGGAGCAAGCTACCTGCATTCCAACCCAGATCCTACTATCGTCTCTTAGACAATGTACCTAAGTGAAAAGTGTGGAAAACAATAATACAATGCTCATTAATTCTCAACAGATATTAACTGAGCATGTATACTGTGTTAAGTCATAGGGCTTTTGCTAGACAAACATCCTGCCATGGAGCAGCTTACATTGTATTCAGGGAGACTAATCAAAATAATTAATTAAAACACATATTATTCATATTCTTATCAGGGTTACTAAAATATAAAAAAATTGAGGAATGACATAAGGAGGACAAGGTGAAGATTTCCATTGAGATATACAGGAACCCAGGACAGCCATTCTGAACACGGGGAATTTTGGCAATCACTTGTGGAGGCTAAGTAAGGTTTGCTCCAGGTAGAGGGAACAGTGAGTGAAACAGGTGAGTTGGAGGAACAGCAAGGCAGTTAGTATGCCAAGGAAAGGCTTGCTACTCAGTTTTGTTCATTGTCTCAGGCCAAACGATCCAATGATGGTAAATTCTGGAAGCTGGAATGTAATGGAATTTAGACACTGGTTTGCTGTTGTGTGATTCACAGCATGATCACAACTCTAGTATATGATTTTTTTTTTCTAGAAGCACAAATAATACCTTTAAAAATCAAAGCAATTATTCTTTCTAGTCAACCCCATCAGATTACTTACTGTATCTGAATTTGAGTTACTGACTTCTCAGCATTATCATTAGTGACAATAGAAATATTTATCCAAGCAAACAATGCTCTTAGACATCAGAAGAAAGAAATTTAGAAAAGAAAAACAATTCTCTAAATTAATATTCTGTTCATGTTAAAAACGAACAAGCATTATAGACCATCTGGTAGAGTGCACTTTTTATGTACAGAATGATTCTACACATTTCACAGGACATGAAGACAAAGCAGGAGCCCTTAAGGACTCTGAAAGAGATACAAATCAGCAAAAGATGCAGACGATCATTTTTCTTTTGAGTTAGTCAAACAAGTTTGGATTTATGTTATTAAACTACTTGAGGCAAGATTTGGTTCAGGTGTTGGCCTTTTAACAAAATGTTATTTCAATATCAATTAATTCATCCATTCTATTTATGTCAAGACGGGTATTTTTTTTCACTAGTGAATCTGATATAAGCTTTGCATTTCAAATTGAATCTAATTTAAAAAGAAACTTGGTTTATCTCTATTCCAAAAATACAAATAATATGATATACAATATGTCAGTATAACATATTTGAAACTTGAAAGATAGCTGAAAGCCAAATAAAAAATATAAATGTACTCTAAAATATAAAAATTTGAAAATAATACATGAAGTCATAAATCTCAAAACTTCTTCTTTTATCTTAACATCAATACTGATTTTACTGATACAGTATTGATTAATGACCTTAAGAAAAAAAATGAAATGCCTTAGCCCAGAGATGGGACAACAGAGTCTCTTGTTTATGTTAGGTATAGACAATTTGGGGCTAGCCTTGTAGCAGAACAGGTAAACCCACCACCTATGATACAGGCATCTCATTTAGGCACCTGTTCATGTTCTGGGTGCTCTACTTCTATTCCAGTTTCCTGTTAATGGGAAAAACAGCAGAAGATGGCCCAAGTGTTTGTGTACCTTCCACCCATGTGGAAGACCTGCATGAAGCTTCTAATTTCTACCTGGCTCAGCGCTGGCTGCTGTTGTCATCTGGGGAGTGAACCAGCAGGTAGAAGAGCCTTTTCTGTCTTTTCCTCTCTCTTTGCAACCCTGACTCTCAAACAAATAAATAAACGAATAAGACATTAGAAGTGTTTTAAGATGAGTATTTATTTACTAGTTCCACCC